GGTACAAAGGCTGGGCTCGATGATCTTCAAGGTCTCTTCCAGCTGAAACTATTCTATGATTCCATAAAGATTCCAGCACATAAATATTTCCAGTGGTCAAGATGTGGTTGCTAGAAGAGCTTTTTGATGCAAACGTCAGCTTATGTAGGCTCTGGCCTGGCTGGGATAGCACAAAGGTGTGGGATGCTGCTTGGTGAGTAAGATCAGGAAAAGTCCTTTTTCTTCTAGTTCCTGAGAGGTAGTTTGTGCACAGATCTATGTTCTGTATTTTGCCACATAAACTTGCTGAGGCCTGGCTGTCATGGACACAGGGAACAATCAGGCAGGGGAGGAAAAATAACTGTGTGAGACTGACAGTGGTGATAATGTCACTGAATACGTAATCATGGCTGGATGTGGCCTTTGCTCAAAAGAGATGGTGCCCGTGATTGAGCTTCTTTTAATGTATTATTAATCCCTTGTCCCTGACTGGCTCCCGCATTTCCATTTCAATTATTTAAGCCTAGGAAAGCACAATGGTAATTTTACTGTTAGTTATTATGTGCAATTTTATTGTATTTTGCATTTTCATTCAAACTGTAGTAATTACTTCAGTAGCCATGGTGACAAAACACGCTTGCACAAACAGGAGAAGACCTTGGTCTGGCAGCAGCTTCCTTACTGTGTAATCAGTTGCTCCTTTGAATTAAAGGTATATTTACTTCGAAATGATTGAAATAAACTGCGTGATTAGCTGTATCATTCGTAGTCTTGGGAAGTTCTCTACAAGCTTTTAGTGTGTGTGTGTTTGTTTGTTTTGAGGAAACTTCAATGAAGTAAAATGTGTGAACTGCCTGCTAAACCTATTTTCAATGAATACTATTTCTAAAACACTAGGCCCACTTCAGAGGCATCTGCTTTTGTTGCATTAGATAGTGACTCCTGGTTTTGGAACAGGAATTCGGTATTTATTCCTTGTGGAACAGAGTTGTGAGAAGATACTCTGCCATAATTACAAGATTGAAAGGACATTTTGCTAGTTTATTTGTTCTTGTCTCTTTATTGAATATTAAAATAAAAATAGACTATGTTCTTTGTGCTGTAACACAAAAAGTTGTGTTTCCTTGTTTGTTGATTTTTATTGCCCAAAAGGGACTTTGATCTCGCAAGCTGGAATGATAAGCACGTTATATAGTTTGTGGGTTGCTCTCAGAGGCTTATTCCAGTCTTTTGCCTGATTCCCACTGAAACATTTGTCAAGATAACTGACTTTTGATATGGTAGATGAAATGTTTTTTTGCAAGTATTGTATATGACAAACGACCATCTGGTTTTGCCTTCGGTAGGATAACTTTTTTTTGCAGTGGTCATGGTGCTTTCTCGATCTCTGGTTCTTGCTTTGATCGGTTGCGTTACGTTCATCTGCCTTGATGCACAAAGTAAGTAGTGTTATTTTTATAGATACTCCAGAGTCTGTTCCTGCTTTTATTGAAACTGAACAAAGACAAATTTACTAAATGCGCTTAAATCACCATCCTAGAAGTTTGAAATATATTGATTTGTTGACTGGTAAAATGCTAACAGCTAAACAAGCAATCTTCTCGGTGCCCGTGGAAGTGCTCTGTGAACTTTCAGGAGCTCAGCAATCACAAGTAAGAACTGTGGCTCTTGTATGTGCAGTGGGTTTTTACAAATTCTCTTTGAACTTTTTTGGATTTGGTTATTTTGTGTCTGCAGTGGATGTTAATTAACTAGGCTGAAGCTGAGTCTGAAGCTGTGTAGTTTTGATGTTGGGATCAGATTAATTTCTTGCTGCTGCTATTCTGCTAAATTAGATTGTAGCTACCATTTCATTGCAGAGGTGAGGACTCTGTTAAAAGTTCTCTTTGATGTATTGAGGAAAGGGCTTCCAGACAGTGAAAACTGTACCATCCGTTAGCTGAATCTGGGGGTAGAAACAATGGCTGCGTGCTTAAACTTGAGGTCTTAATATAGTTTTGGTCCTTCAGCCTCCCTACAGAATTCTCACAACAGTGAAAACACTCGTGGCTTTCCTTTGTTTCTGGTAGCTCCAGAGGAGCACCAGGACTAGCCATGGAGGAGGGGTTATTTTTTTTCCCTTTTTCAGAAGTCAAGAGCCCTGCTTTCCTAAGTAAGCTTTTGAATACTTGGAGGCAGCGAATTAGACCCATAACCAGCAGCTTCTGGCCATAGAAGTATTCTCTGGGGTTTGTTCAGTTACTGATCACCTTGAATATATGGTAAGGATGACAAGAAGAGCGAGGGAAGATCTTAGCATTGGTATAAACCCTCAGAAGACCACAAAAGTCCCACAGGTATCCATAAGAGCATAGACTGCACTTCAGTAGCTTTGCTGAGTAATTCTGGGAAGGAAGGGAAAATCTGATGGGTTTCTAGATTTGTGTGTGTGTAGTTGGCCGATCTAGAAGAAGAGTCTGTCGTTTTTTACCACAGAAAATGTAGAGAGAGATCACTGAGGTACAGTTAAGCCACTTCTCAGGGAAAAGCTGTGCTTCAGAAGTGTCAACTCCTATAAATGTTTAAGGAGAATAAATGCGGGGCTCACGGCCTTGAAGTTAAGGCTGACAAGCAGCTGGCCAGTGATCTACAAGGACCAAAGGATGTGGAAGATTCCCAAGGCCAGGTTGACATGGAAGGAAAAGTACCGAAAATAACGTGTGGCTCCTGATGTTCCGCCAAAAGGACTTTGGAGACTATATGGGACCTTGGGGACTGTTTGGGTGGCTTGTTATCGGGATATCAAGAATTAATGAAGGATGTGAAAGATAGCCAAAAGAGACGCTGGTTCCAGTAAATGCTTCTGTAAATAAGCAGATATATCAATAAGTTGTCAAAAGTACCGGATAATTAGTTGTCAAAAGTACTGGCTAATTGCTGATAGCTTGCAGCTGCGAAATATTAAAGAAAAGTATAAAAGATAATGTGTAACTCAAATAAAGTGGATGATTGTAGCATTCATATTGAGTGTGTATTGCAGTCTCCCATCTTCACCGCCGACAAATAAACTTCAGGTAAATCTATCACTGTGTCTTTATCCTGAGGTCTTGGTTTCTTGCTAACATTTCAGTCGTGAATAGCTTTATGTTTGCAGTTTTCTTGGGAGTAGAAAATGTTTGTAAAGCCAGAGTGCAAAAGTAGGTTTGGTTATGATTTCCACAAATGTTTCAGCAGGGAACTAACGTAGTGATTAATTAGTGTCAGGCAATAAAGCCAAAGTTTCTGTCTGGTCAGGGAACAAAGAAAGGACAGTTCTGTAGCTAATGTTTGCACATCCTTTTTTAATAGCTGCAGCCCTTTATCATAGAATTTTTTGGGACAAGTATATAGACTGGATTCAAGACACCAGTGTTTACCTACTCTATGTATTGTTCTACTGTTTTAAACCCTGAAAATTTCAATAAGGTGCCACCATGCTAAATGTCTTTTAGCCTAATTTGAACTAGTGCATGTGTCTGGTTTTGTGTAACATAAGCTTTTTTACCTGGTACTATTTCTGGATATAATCCCTCTGTGTCATTTGTACATGACTTTTCCTTTTGTTTTTAGAAACTACGAGTATAAATTGTGACACAACACCTAAGCCAGTCACGCTGTCAGGCTTTTTGGATAATTATACAGGTAAAATCATGATCCTGTCCAGGAATTTTCTGATTAGTGCATGTACTGCTTTAATGCTTCATGTAGTTGCTGTGTTTTACCAGTCTATATTTTTAATTGGTTTACAGTAGTCTTCCTGGCTGCCTGTGTGGCATAGTGCTGAGTAGCATAAATAAATATAAACCCCAAAAGAATCCAGGGAGAGAAGATGGGGTGCAGAGGAACAAGCAGACTTGCAGCACAGGGAGTTACAGGATCAATACCAGCCGCTGGATATATTGGCATTTTCTAGTCCAGTTTTCTTTGTTAGCATAACCTGCTCTGTATTGATACTTCTTGTCCGAATGTCCCCAAGTCAGGATGGAGGATTAGGCAGTGTATCAGCAGGCAAAGGTAGGTTTTGTTTTCCTAGAACACTTTCTTCTAAGAGTTTCAACACCAGGAAACTCTGTGCCCTGAGGCACAGCCCTGCTGGTTTGTGCTTGTTGCCATCTGATTGGACTTTCTCCTTATGTGCAATTATAGTCCAGTATCTTTGGGCTGGCAGCTGACAGCATTCCAGACACTCCCTGCCCTTGGAAGAAGACAAACTTCCCTTCCTTTAGGCACTTAGAGACCACAGCCCACAAGTCTGTACGTGGAGAGCTGGGATGGGACTGTCACAGCCTAAATTAGTAGCAGTGGAGTAAGAAACAGAGCTGAAGATCATGGAAAATGCTCAGAAAAGATATTGGGAGATGAGAGGTGATTATGGGTTTGCAATCCAGATAATGTGTTCCACGAGAAGCTAAGTATTATTTCATAAATGCCAGTATCTTGATAATACGAGTAAAGCAACTTTATTTAATAAAATTGCCACACTGAGTGGTTTAAAATGATACATTTCAAACACGTGTTCAAACACAGAGCTGCTGTTTAACCAAGCAAGTAATACACTCACTACTGAAATGATCATGAGTCTAATACGAATCATGAAAATGACAAATAACAAGTTTCAATATTTTTAAGATAGCAGTTCTTAAATGCACGGTTGAAGAAAGTCACTTTCAAATTGATTCAAAGGCTGTGTTCTTCCGTGTCTGTGTTCTGTACCTATGGGAACAGATTAAAGGAGGGGCCATACACTTACCCTTCTGTACCAGAAACAATTAAACAATCACAAGCCTGAATCAAGATCCACGCTGGATTCTACCTGCTTGATAGATTTACCCTAGAGATAAGGAATGCCTTTGTGTTTGGAAGACAGTGAAACTCACCCTGTGCAGCCCTGACTAGCTTCTGGATGATTTTGATTACATTGTAATTGCATTTTCACACTACATGCAAAAAAAGTTATTCGGCTTAAAGCTGTTTCTAGAAAATGGTGGAAATTTAGGTGTAAATTTTGCCAAGCTTTTTAATTCTGGGCATACTGTTACAGAGTGTAAATAATGTGGGAAAAGTGGGTTTGTGTGGTTTTAGAAACGTATCAATACACTTGTGCATAGTACTCAGGGGGACTTCAGGAGATCTCATGATTTAGCTGAAAATGCCAAAATAAAGTAAAATGTAACCAAAGGTAACCAGTAATCAAGTTGTCAATAGGTGTGAAAGGAACCTATGGATTTCTTTTCCATAAAGTAATCTGGTTTGTTGCACTTTTTCTTACAGGTGATATAGAATGGATTACAGATATCCCACCTGACGTATATTTGGAGTTAAGAGAGTATTTGTTCCCCGAACACTTAGAATATGTGGAGCTGGTATATACTGATGGATCTAATAATGCAACAGTGAGGACCCTTAAGCCACTGGATGTTGATTCTATTGAGGTATTCTTTCTGCTGCACGTAAAACCTGGATATAAAGTTTTTCGTGACAGGTGAAAAAAGGCAGCACTAAGACATAAATTTTAATTGTTCATTCTCTTACAATACAGGTTGGTATTTCAAAAGAGTGACTCATCAAGAAGAGCACCATAGACTTTAGTATTTACCTCTCAGTAATATCGGTTCAATGTCTCCAGTTTCCTGTAACTGTAAAGTTATCTGGCATGTGACAGTCAGAAGGGTTCTTCCCTAATCACAGATCGTCACTTGAAATGAAAGCTGTAAATGCATAGTTATGATAGCTGTCACTTTTCTTCCAACTCATCTCTCGGTAACACCAACTATTTCATCAAAATGAGATTGTTCGGGTATAATTTGGTACGAGGCAATCCTTAATCACAGGAATATTTATACAAGTACTTAACTGCAAACATGAATAGATCCATTGAACTCTCTTGGTCGATGGACAAAAGGGTAGATCCTCATTCCGAGGCCGTTCTTGCTCTGTGAAGCAATATTGATGTTCTTCCTGGATCTGTGCAGGATGCCAATGGTAGATGAATGGCAGCCAAATAAAATTTACAGTTAGTAATCTGTAATGACTTTGCTATGCATTATAAGCAGCGTGTTTTGGTACAACACACCTGAGGACTCAGGTGCTAGAAGTTGTTTTGTACAGTTTTGACAATTCTATTAGGAGTTCATAGATTTTATTACTTATTTGCTTGTTTGATCATTTTTAGAGTTACGATATCTTCTATGCTGTTGTTTGCCGAAGGATTGGAACAGTAAGTAAAAGATGTGTGTTATCAACTTTCATTTTTATCTAAGTTTAATGCAAATTATCGTTTTCTGAAAGATTATTTCATTTGAAGATATGATGCAGGGAGTTAAGAGTCCCTTGTAGAAGACATATTTGTTTAAATGTGCCAAATGGAATGAGCAGTTTTGTTCGCTGGAAACGTAAGGTGAATTTTTTAAAGTTAATTTTAAGATATTTTCGCAAACTTGCTACTCCATTATTGGAAATTGCAGTCTAACTCATTGCAGATTTTAGTACTGAAGATCTCATTTTATATGATATTAAATGTTAGCAGTATGCTGTCACCTCACTGCTGTCACTTCTGACATGTCTTCTGCTTCTCTTACAAAGACTGACGAGATAGAGAATGCCCGGGACATAGTCTTAGAAGACATAAATGACAATTCTCCAAAATTTCTACAGACTCATTATAATGCTTCAGTATCAGAGGTGGGTTATGGCGAATGTTAGTACTTTTTCCTGTGATATTTTTAAATTATTTTTTGAGGGTCAAAACATATGAGGTTCTAATGTGACCACACTGATATTAGATCACTGCACGCACTCTTGTGGGGCTTTGCTACGCCTTTCTGTGGGCAGGGAGGAGAGTGGCTGGGCTGCTAGAAGTTAGGAAAGATACCTCAAGGGACTTGTGACTGAGCATTTGCTGATCTCTGTTTCCTCTAGGTATCTGCAATAAATTCCATTGTTATAAAAGTGGAAGCTGAGGATAAAGATTTGTCACCTATGTGGAGCCTTATTACTTACAGTCTTTGGGTGAGTGCCGTTTGTTTGTCAGAGACTGAACATCAGTCTCCATATCACACAAAATAAAGCCTAGGAGCAGATCAAAGTACGTTATCTTGCACTGTGCGGGTAAGATTACAAATCACAGAAAGCTAGCATCAGGGAGACGAATTAAAATTCGAATTTATACCTCAGGATCAGCCTAGCATGCAGCAAATCTTGTTTCTTACCATGTGTGAGATGTTGTGTGGCACTTTTCAGCTATAGCTGAGGAACTCAGTGGTTCTTTTTCACAGCAGGAGTGAAGCAGTTTCCCTTCTTGGAGTTGGTGTTTGGTTTGTTATTGCTCTCTAGTCCTGCTGCGCTGCTGCCACCTGAAGTAAGATTATTTCAGCTAGCTTGAGCTATCTGTGGTGGAGATCTTCACATCTGAGCTTGATGTCTCTGCTTGTTTTATAGCTGGGGAAGAGAAGCCAATGCCATTCATTTAGGATCCTTTAGTTATTGACCACAGGATGAGACAAGTCGGGTAGAAAGGCTAATGGCACTGATAGGAGAGGCAACAGAATGTGTTGAACAGGGTCTGCATTTTCCTTTGCAGTGGTGGTGTTTGAGAGATTCTTAGTCTTTTATGAAGGATAGCCCAAAAATAAAGATGGTAAGAGAAAAGAAAATGTATTTCATTGTTAATCATGCAAAATATGATTTATTCATTTAATAGGGTCCAAACTCTGATTACTTTTATATAAGGGAAGGAGATGGAAACATCATGGTGAATAAAACATTGGATTATAACAAGATCAACCTTTTCAATTTAACAGTCCAAGCAAAGGTATGATATAAATAAAAAGAATGGGAACCAAAGTAGTTCTGCAGTGGTACTTCCTTTGATGTAACATTGCAATTTCTACAAATTTCTACAAATTACAATTTCTACAAACCTAGGGAGTTCCCAAGCCAAAATGTTGTGTCTGCATCTTGGCTTGTACTGCAGATGAAGTAGCACATTCTTAATATTTGAGCAATAATATCTTAATATTTAAACAATATTAATATTGTTTAAATCTCCCCTCAAATACCAGCCCAAATTTATGTCTATGTTTATTTCTTTAAGTACGTATATTGTACATATTTATTCCTCACTATTCACCTTTTCATTTTTTTGCAGATCTGTCCTAACTTTGCTGCATGTTACCACCTGTAGTCTTTTTGTGTGTCTCTTGAGAGTTGAATATGTATTTGCCTTCAATTCCTTTTTGCATTAAAAAGAAGTCATTTTGCCACATTTATTGTGGTATCTTGCAAATAGTCCAGCTGCAGCAACAGATGTGCTGTTACCACATTCTATTTGCTACTGTGTGACACCTGCCTGATATAAAATTAATAACTAAAACCTTTTGGTAGTATTACTCCTAGAACTACATTTCTGGGAATGGAAAAATTTGGCAGGCTGAGAAGTCTCACATTAAAAATGCTTAAATGCTACAAAGCACAGATAATCCTCTGCTGCATTTTCCATGGAAAAACGGCTCTTCTGTGACATTGTGGTTTCTTTTCTTCCTTCTCTTGGAATGCAGGAAAGGATGGGAGAGAACCATGATACTGCATCATTAATAATTACCATAGAAGATTACGATACATTGAACCCCTATTTCAGTCAGTCAGTGTACAATGGAAAAATCAGTGAAAACCAGGTAAAACCTTTTCACTGAACGCTGCAAATGTAAATGGATTATTCCTGCCCACAGTGCTTTTCTCTCAAGGATACTTCATCTTTGAGCAGCTTAAGACAGAGGGCTGCTTTGGTTTGTGCTAGCTGGTGAATTCGGAATTCTCCACCATAGACCTCTCTGCTACAGAGATGTATTGTTTTGTGTTGGGGGGG